TCACAGTCCCACATGGGCTAGAAATTACACCTTAATGCTTGAAGGATGTCAGGTGGAAGTCTGTAATAATACTAAAGGGTTAACTAGAAGGATGTGTATTTTTTGGTATTCACAACTATATGGATTAACAGTTGGAGGTCTGCGTCCAGACACATTAGGAGATCGAGAGTTTTTTAAACCTAGGCCTCCTTATCTAAACATAGCTACTTTAGGAACTGGAGAATTATGCTATAAAGTCTTACGTGGTTATATGCAAAGAGATATTCCAGAAGATTATAGATATTATAGAAAAGGAATGTACGAGACATATCCTATGACATACTGGTATGGAGAGGGATATAATAAGCAAAAATATGATTATTACCCCCAGGACACAAGGATTGAAGCAGAAACCTTTGAAAGAAAATTAGTGGGAACTAAAACCCTTGTGATGGAACATGGTCAACTCCGAGTTAAAACAAATTGGTTTTCTATTGATAAAACAAATACTTGGGAAGTAAATGATACAAAAACAGGAAATGGTCTTTTAGATCGTATAATGATTATGAATGATAAAGTTGGAGACTTAGTGCCACCTGGATTTACAGCGCCAGGAACGACGAAATGGGGAGCGTTTAGTCTGGTCAATTTCAATTACCTTAACGGGTTAGGCATAGATCATCATGTGTGTTTTAATGAACCGAGAATAGGGAAAAATCCTCAACCTGAAAGATTCACAATTGACCCTGATGCACCCAAAGAGTTTCCTAACTTCAGAAATTTCCCAAATTGGGATCTGAGAAGTGGTTTTTGCTCACCATTTCGAAGATCGTTAGATCAGCAAAAAGCCGACTGGTTTGATTATTTTGCATATGGCATAAATGGCACATTACGTCATGTGAGTCTGATAGTACGTGGTGTGAATGAAATTATGAGTGACAGTGTAGTGCAGGTTTCTAACAATGTAATTCAAGGAACTTCTGATTCAATGGGCATGTTGGTAAAAGGAGTGAGAGAGCACATCATTAGGCCTGTCTGGGACGCTCTGTTCTGGCCTCTCTGCGCTCTCGGATTAATGTGTGGGGTGATTATTTTAATAATCGGTATGATTTTGGCCTGTAAAAACAACAAGTGGCAGTTGACAGGAAGAAAGCTGTTAGGAGAAAGGAAAAAGGATCTGGTAGATCCAGATAAGATGGGAAGAGAGGTGTCAAGGTAGAGGGAGTATTAGCCCCCCTTCTTGTTGCTCCTGTTTAAGTGCAGGCCTCTCTGCACCGCGTGTCACTTGCTCCTTAACTGTCAGTCTGTAACTTGAAGTGAACCAATGGCTCATCAAACTCACCCTGAATCTGAGCTGATTGACGCTCTGAATCTGGAGGTATGTCAGGATTTTGTAACTATTTTATCCAGTTTGTCTTTAGGATGTTGTAGACATTTCATAACTGGTGTACACTTGTTGTGAGGATTATTGTTGTAAAACTATTTATTTTCTCCTATAATTAAGAAGTGTTTATGCAGTAATGCAGTTACTTATTGCTTCATGGAATGAGTTATATATCTCATGTGGAACATATTTTATGTTCCTTCCAGATGGAATCGATTCGGCAGAATATCATAGAGGGATTAATCCCCTCCGCAGGTCCATCAACTGTTTTCTCTCTGAATGGCGCATACTATTTGTGCACCGTGAATCGCGGGAGGGATGGATTGCCTCAGACTAAGACAATCGGGCTCCAGTGTGAACATGCTACGATGAATAAACGCTGCGTGTCTTGCAGGTTTATTCAGTACATCCAGACCAAATGGAAAAGGGATTCAAGCGGGAGACTGATCAGGAAGACGACATACTAATGTTGTCCTCCCCGGGAGTAGATGCCCTGCTTGAGCAGGCCCACGACGAGGAGCTGACAACGGCGCCCTCATCTGACGTGGCCGAAGAGGTTGTATCAGTAATGACGGCAGCTTCAACATGCGTCCCGTGTCCTGATGTGATACGTGAAATCCCTATGGTCTGTCTAAGTAGTGAGCCAGCAGGCATTCATTCCCCTGTCCGAATTGCACCTGGGAGAGAAATGAGATGGAGGATTAAATCCCAGAAGGGGTGTTACTTTGTTTGTCAAGGCAAGATTATAGATTGCTTTCAGTTTATGAATATTTTGTCTGTAAAGACTGGATGGTTCGGCCCAGAAGTCTGTGACTCTTTTGGGACCGCACCTTTGTTGGATACGAAAAATCATGTTTTGGTTTTCAGCGCCAGCTTCCCACCTCAAATGATGGGATCGCTTCCACGTGGAGAAGCTCCGGTGATGGATTTATCTTTATTCTTTTTGGGCGAAGATCCCACAGATGGGAGAAAGCAGTTTAAAGGTTATGTAACAACCCGCAGAGGGACCTTGTGCTTACCCGTAGCTGATGATGGCATTATGATGAGAATGAGGGTTGATGTGGAGGCCACAGTTAGGTGTCTGAGTGTTCAGCCGTTCCTGAGTGAGATGGATGCTAGATTTATGAAAGCTTGCATTGCTGCTCTATCTTTTTATGGTCCTTTGCCTCAGTACGTCCTCATGGGGGATGTTGCAAGCCCGAGCAACCAGTCAAGGCTTAGAAACAGTGGTCAGAGACAAGGGTCACACAAGGGTCAAGAGGACAGGAGTTCAGGACTTGCTGGTGAGGACAGAACTAGGCAAAGGGTCAAAAGACAAGCTGTCTTCTCTAGATCCACCCATGGACACACCCCTGGGCCCGCCCCTAACTCCACCTCTGGCGGGAAAAGAAGGAATGGCATGGAGTGAGGAGAAGTCCAGCTGGACCCAGGAACTCTCAGGAATGCTGGAAGAAGATCTACAATTTGCTACCAATATGAAGATTTATGACCTGTGCTCTCATTCCAGGAGTGCAGAATGTAACTTTTGTGCCCTCATGTGAATACTGCATGTAGTGAAATGATACTAAATGTCTTATGTAGAGCTAAAAAAGTGTATCTGGTAGATGACCCCTTGACCTAAACTGTCAGGAGAGAATGACTTGTGCCTCTTGCATTGTTTAGAGCAGTCTCAGAAATGATATAAAAGGATGCAGCTCAGATCGAGCGGGGGTCTTGTTCTTCAGTTCTTGGGGAGATTCTGAGAAGACAAGAGCTGGTGTAAACTGACTCTTATTTATTCATTTTGAACTAATTCCTCCGTGGGGGATAGTAGTTGTTTTTCACTTTACCCATTTTTGTATTTTGATTTTGTAATAAACCTTTTTTGAAAAAGAAACATAATCCTGATTCTTTCAGGTTTTCTCTAAAGCTTCACGTTTGGAGCCCTGGCCATAATTGCACAGAGGTAAGCATGTCGAAGATCGGTCTCTGAATTATCAGGACTTACTTTACAGTTTATAACAGAATAATATAAAGAAACCTTAAGATAAGGGAAGTTTTAACTTCTCTCCCCTTGCGAGTAACGAGTTGTCTTAAGGGTGATAAAAGCAAAATATTCGAGGTTATTTTGGCTCTGATTGCAGGTTGAAAAAGTCTCTAATCAGCTGGAAGGTTGGATTAATAAATAAATTGATAAACTTATGTTAGCCTGATCAACTAGCATAAATCATTTTATAGTTACCAACCTCCCACATAAGCTGTTAGGGGCGCAATTAATTCCGGGTAGCCCAAACAATTGCTGGGAGGCTTGGCTTGCCTCCAGACTTCTCTCTAGTATCTTAACCAAAAGGTAACGAGTTTAAAAGAAGTGTAGCACTCTGAGGCTGGCTATTCGTGCAAGTCATTTCACCTTTAAAATAAAAGACAAGATTCTAATTAGGTAGTCCAAACCCGGGTCTGGTACGATTATACTCGTCGATACACCCCCGAACCCTGATGGATGCACCGTCTCATAAGTTCTAACGGAACTGGGTTTTAAAGGAACCGGTAAATGGGACGGGCACACGACAGCTTTAGCAGCAGAGAGAGAGGCAGTGCCAACTCAGCGACTTTGTCGCTGTTCCTAACGCCTAGTGACAAAGCTAGCTACATTTCTGAGGACCCTTAGCTACTTTCTTCTAGATATTTCCTGCAAATTAGCAACAAAATAGCCATTTTCACTCCAAACCGTTCTTTGGTTTGACGTTGTTTCAGCTGTCATCAAGGATATAAATGTTACAGATACTGTGAATGTTACTAGAGTGTAGCTCACCTTGTAAGATATCTGACTCTCAAACAGAAGACCTGGGTTTGATTCTGGATGTGAACATAGTTTATTTAGAGTTTCTTTTTTACATTAATGGTATATTTTTTTACAGTAAGATGCCCAAATTTTTATTTGAGTCTCGCCGAACGGCATTGAATTCACAGATAAAAAAGATGTGGGTTCAACTTTCATTTTGGAACAATTTTTCAAGCAAGGGAAGGGAATGATCTGAGCATGCAGGAGGACTGACCCATCTTAAACCTTTGTGGCTGTGCTGAAGAGAAAGCTACAGAACCAAATTATTTAATTAATTAGCTGCACGTTCGCCTGTCCTCCGGGCCACTCACACACACGCACGCACGCACACACACACACACGGGACTGTCTCAGCTGTTATTTTCTTTAAGGAGTGTGCACGTACAGCATGCGCGCCTCGTGCACGAGCCTACTATTTAAGCTGTCGTTACGCTTTTGGCCTGAGGGGGCAATGAAAATTCAAAAGTCCCTTTAAGTTTCACTTTTGTTAATGAACTGTTAATGACTTTAATTACAAATATATCAAAATATTTGTAATTGATATTTATATATTTGTCCTTTTGTTCAGTTTTATTAATCTTATTTGTCGGTTTACTGTATTTATTTCTTTATAGACAAATAAATTAATTAATAAATGACATTTGAGTAAAATAATACATTTTTCATTTAGGATTATTAACAGGAGCCATAATAAGACATAAACGTCCTCAAGTGAAACATTTCATCTATTGATCTGTTTGTTTCGACTTCTAACATTTTATTTGTTTTGAAACTTCTGGGATTGATGTGAACAAAGACAGGAAACCACATGGTTACCATGGAGACTGTGGCATCGTTTCGGTTGGACGGTGTGCCGGCGGTGTGGCTGGGGCGTGAGTTTGAGGCTCCGCCTTCTTCCTGTCGACCGCTCCAACGGTCAGAGCTACGAAGTCCAGCACGGAGCTGTCCAATCCCAGCCAACCAGAGGGAGGTCTGAAAACGTCCAACAACGAGTCAGGTGAGTTTTACCTGCAGTCAGACCGTTTAAGCTAGCTGCTGCTAAAACAGCTGAAAATCCTTTTATGTGTTTACGCTTTCAGAAGACATTTTTGTGGACATCATTTTGGACGTCTCGCACTTGTAAGAGAGCATAAACGAGGACCCGTCCATGCTGAGGACATTAACTTTTAACGCCGGTTTCCCCACCTGGTCTTTTGGGTTCTTGCTCTCGGTTCGGTCGTGTCGGCCCTCACAGGAGAACCGGCGGTTGACCCGAACAGCCGGCTCCAGCGTAAGCTCTGTCCCCGAGACGGGCTGTCCTCCTGGGGTGAAGACTGGACTTGTGTCCCGGTGACCAGCAGCAGGCTTGTGTCTCTGTCCTGGTTAAGAAGCGACTCGGGGGGGCTGCCCATCCACGAAGGCCTCCCCCTGGATCCGCCAGAGCCCCTCTCCCCCTCGCGGCTGGACTCGGCACCTTCCACCACACCTTCTCTAGCGGGGGGACGCTGGTTCTGCCGTCTCTCTGAAGACTTCTTTCTTTTCTCCGTCTTAACGAACTTTGATCCTTGGGTGGACGGGTCGATGTAGACCTGAGACGACTGCATGAGCTGGTACCACCAGCCAGCCTGCCTGTCCTCCTGCTGGCGTCCCTCGTCTGGGGGACCTTTGTCCTTTCTTCTGTCTCGCTCCTTTACGTCGGCTCCGTGACTTTCCTGCCCAACACCTTTCATCCTCAGCCCGTCCATCCCTCTCTCCTTCCAGAGATGGTCGGCCTCCGCTCTCGGCCACGTTCCCTCCCGCCTAAGCCCCGCCCTCTCCTTCTTCATCTCCGAGCTGGAGTCTCTGACTATCTCGCTGACGGTGGCGCTCCATCCTCTCATCAGCTGGAAGGTGGAGCAGCTCGACTGCTCAGCGCTCTGGCCCGCAGAACACAGCTGCTCCTTGCGACGCAAATGCTCCTCCCCTTTCTGGAGCAGGTGCGGCTCAAACAGCAGGTCCAGGTGGAAGGGGAGGAGCGACAGTGGCTGGAGCAGGAGGAGGAGCTCGTCAAACAGAGACTTACACGCTCCCTGGGCCAGCGGGAGGATCCCCGTGGGGCTGTAGTGGGCCGCCACGATGTCTGCAAAACAAAACAAGTGAAGAAAACCTCTCCGTGGCGCTTGAACACCTGGGAGGATAAATCATGGGCATACCTTCATGTGTGGACAGGTGACTGAACCAGAAATCCAAGGATCGTAAACTGAAATCAAAGAAAAACATTCAAGACAAAAACGAGTCGAGTTTAAACTACGCTCAGGCTGGGGCTGCTCGATTATGGCGAAAATGATAATCCCGATTATTGAGATCTCGATTATTTTTTAAATTAATGCGGATTTAATTTATTTACTCTGTCAAACGGGGCACCGTCAGGACCACAATAAATAAGATCATCACAAACACAACTCTCCTAGCATAAAAAGACCCAAAGAGTTTAGGCTCCACTCACTTAAGGCTTCCACACAGACCCAAATACCCAAACAACATGGTGCTTACACAGCATTTATAACATGGAACAAATAAAAACATGTAAACATTTTAGTGAAGATCCCAGAATGTAGCTTAATAATGAAGTCCTCTCCAGCAGCGCTGCAGGAGTGTCGCTCAGAGAGATGAACTATCAGCTAGCTCTTTAGCTGCAGGTCCCATCAGCTAACCCCGATCCTTCCCTAATGTCCAGAAGGATGGTCCGGAGCGCTGGCCGCGTGTCCTAAGACCTGTAGGGAATGTCTACGGCGTTATCCAGAGTGATTAAGGTTACCAGAAACGTTTCTAGGCTGTTCACTAGGTGCTTCTAGGATTTACTAAATCAAGAAGGGGGTCTGAAAAGCTGTTGGAAATAGCAACAAAGAAGTTGGCAACGCTGTGGGAGGAGCGCTTGATTTGTAACCTGAAGCAGCGCAAGAGGAAGGAGCAAATCATCGGCTTGTTTTTTTTTAACAAGTGTTCAAAACTCAGATCGTAATTGGGGTTACAAATAAAATTGGATTAATTGAGCAGCCCTAGCTCAGGCGGGTGGAGAACGAGGCCGGGGGCCGACTCACTTCAGAAGGCCGAAGATGAAGGCGTTCAGCCTCATGGCGTGACTCGTGAGCTCCGAGAACTGGCTCACCTTGGAGAGGAGGCTGTGGAGGACACGAGTGGACGGACCTGGTGGTGGTGGGGTGGGGGTGGGGGTGTTAGAAGACCTCTCTGTATAAATCAGCCACACAGAATCATCGGTTCTGCCCTCACCCAGCTGTGTGGAGGCCTCCACCACGCTCCACGGCTGACAGCGGCGCTGTCCGATGATCAGGTCCAACACGTAGGCCTTCAGGCCGTCCTGCAGCACAGCGCCCAGGGCCGGACACAGATACTTCAGGATGAGGTGGCCCACGTTGGGACTGACCCAGCTGTTCCCCAGTTTAGCCTGACGGGATAAAAACCTGGCTCCTTATCTGCTGGAAAACGTCGCGTAGGCGTGTTCGGACGTGTAAACCACTAACCTTCACATCTGGGTCTCTACTGGTGCCAAAGTGGGCCACGATCAGGTCCACGGCCGTGTTCACAGCTTTCACCAAACCTGACCACATCAGGGGGAAGACGTTGGACGACTCGGAGTAAAACATAAACCGTGTTAGCTCCGCCGTTCCTCACCTCTTTTCTGAAGCAGGTCGACGGAGATTTGGGACTGGGAGAAAGAGCAGCAGCTGGAGGAGGAGGAGGTGGAAGCATCGGGCGAGAGGCAGAACTCCTCTGGAGGCTTCTCCGTCAGGGAGAAGTAATCGGACAGGAAGTCGCTGTAGCTCTGCTGCGGCTTGGATGGAGGAGCAGCTGTTTGACACAAACGTAAGTCAGACCAGAGCCAAATCCATCTGGACATATCGAGTCTACAACTACAACCAGGAGCACCATTGGGCCGGACGTGGCCGGACTGAGCTGCGGGGAAATCAAAGACGTTGCGTCGGGCAGGTTGAGGCCCCCCCACACTTTTGAGCTCCACGTTACCAGCAGCGGACCCGGATCGGCTCCCGGAGATCCTCTCCACGCCCAGAGGGTTTCGGCGGCGGTACTCTCTCCACTTCAGAGCCTGGGGGGAGAGGTGATGGGCTGGAGGGAGAGTAGAGAACAGAAGAGGTAAGGGTTAGGCTTTCCTTTGGTTTCAGACTGCATCTAAAATACGGGAGGGGTCAAATCTGACCAAGGAGAGGAAATCGGTCCAGAGACAAAGATTTAACATGAAACGCTCCGAGCTTTCACTGATTACTACGATGAAGGTAATAAAATCACCATTCTGGGTTCTGGATCCCGGTCCGTTGCTTCGGTCCGTTTGTTTTCCTGAATCCAGACGAGCCAGCGGACTCAGACCGTCACCGTGGAGCGCTCCGTGGTGGAAACACGGTCCGCGTACGGCTGGCAGCACCAGAGGCATCACCCCGTTCCTCACCCCCAGAGATGGAGACGGAGTCGTTGAGGGGAATGCTGCTGATCCTTCTCCCTGAGCCCCTCCAGGTGGAGTCTGCAGCAAGGTGAGGCTGTGGGGGGGGCGAGGACTGGGGCTGCAGGTGGAGCACGTCCCGGAGCTGGGGGCACCCTGGAGGCGAACCGGGAAGTAGCTCCCTACGGGTGAGGGCCGCACCAACTCCAGAGGAGGAGCCGCGTCTCCGACACCACCCGGGGAGTTGCGCTTGTCTTCAGCTGCATCTTCACCATCTTCCCCGATGGGATCACCAGAACCAGAACCAGAACCTGAGCGCAAACCAGAGTGAGCCTGCATCCCAGAGGTGAAGCCCGTGAGCAGGGGCAGCAGAGGTTTGGGCTGGGGGGGCTTGGATGTAAACTGGTGGTGAAAGGTGAAGGGCTGGATAGGGAGGGTGGTGGGGCGCTGGTCCTTACTGTAGCGGACCACTGCGGGGGGGCAGTCGGAGGAACTCCAGAGGCCACCTGGACAGGTAGAGAGAGCAGGACAGGGTTAGGGTTAGCTAAAGCTGAAGCTTCATAAAGGTGGAAACGCCCAGTCAGAAAGCTCTTATCACACACACACACACACACACACACACACACACACACACACACACACACACACACACACACACACACACACACACACACACACACACACACACACACACACACACACACACACACACACACACACACACACACACACACACACACCAAGAAGAAGCTCCTTTCCTCACAACCTCCGTGTGTTTTTGTGTTGCTGGATCTGGTCGGTGTGCTGCATGACGAAGCAGTGTGTGTGTGTGTGTGTGTGTGTGTGATGTCAGCAGTATTGCGCAAGCTGTGTGTCACCCTAATGCCAGCCCACCACCTGATCTGACTGCAGTGGCATGTCTCAGCCATGAGGGGCGACATCGAGCTGCTGTCTAACCACGGGGTGGGGGAGTGCTACACACCCAGCTCTCACGAGGGTGGAGGAGAGAAATCCTCCCATCCTTCTCCCCGTTCAGCATCACAGTTCTGGTGTTCTCATGTGAATCCAGCAGGAAGCTGACGCGGTTTCCTTTTCCAGCTCCAAGCTTCATACGGAATCTCTTTGGGCATGTCTCAATCAATCAATCAATCAATCAAACTTTATTTGTAAAGCACTGTTCATCCATCCAGCAGGTTAAAATCACCCCATATAACCCATAATCCCACAAAATCATTTCCTAAGGAACACGCACACACACACACACAAAACTCTGCCTGCCTCACACGTGTCTGTGTGTGTGTGTGTGTGTGTGTGTGTGTGTGTGTGTGTGTGTGTGTGTGTGTGTGAGAGAGAAACAGGGCAACAAATGGTTTTATGAATTATGACAATTTTGGATTTTCATGAACTTTGACACAAGACAGCTGTGATGTCATCACCAGCGGGCCTTTGCTACAAGCCTCAACTCACCTCCTGCGTCTGCTTTGCCACCCCTCGCCTCCTCCAGGTGTCGCTCCATGCTGCCCTGACTGTAACACCTGGTGAAAGGTGCAGGTGACACGGTCGGACTGACCGACCCCACCCGCTTCTCCGGAATGGGGGAGAAATCCACGGAGGAGTGCGAGTGGCTGGAGTGACTAGAGGAGAAAGGGTCCGCGGCTTCCTTCATCGAGGACGACCCCCCCAAACCCCCGTTTCTGCGTTTGCTCCTGGCGATTTCGGCGAATGAGGTGACTCTGGGAGGAGGAGGCACAGGAGGAGCCAGGGAGGCGCTCTCATTCAGCCGGACAGGGCAGCTCAGCATGCGCTCCAGGGAGCCGAGTCGTGGAGGAGGAGGCTTGTCCAGGTTGCGATCATAACTGCGAGAGCGAAGGCGGTTTCCAGAAGGAGCGGCACCTCCGATGACACTCCGGCCAGCGATGGGGGGAGAAATGTTGATGTACACTTGGCCTTCGATCACATCATGGGCAGCTTCACCTCCTCCTGCTTCCTGGTGATTGTTTGTCTCCTCCTTGTTCTTTTCTTCCGCACCTTCATCCTCCTCCTCCTCCTCTGGATCCCGCTGAAAGAACAAACCAACAACATCGGAATTATCTAACACATATTTGGCTTTTGTCTCCTTGTTTTCTAACAAACCAGAGAAGTGTGGACCCTGGTACACCTACCTGAAAGGACTCCTCATCTCCATTCTCCTCCTCCTCCATCCCATCCTCATCACCCCGCTGCCTGAACAGGAAGTATTCGCTGGGCTGCGAGGGGGAGGGGCTACCTTTGCTGGGCTCCTCAGAGCAGCTGTTGACTGAGGAGCCCGCAGGACTCGGGGACGACTGGGACGAAAGGTCACAGGTCACCAGCTTGTAGTAGTTCTGAGTGGCCACAACCAGGCGTGCCTGACTCTGCAGACAGGAAGTGAGGTCGCCAGACGACCCAGCACGAGGAGGCAGGTAGGAGTTACAGTTGGCATCGAGGTCGACAGGTCCTTGGTGCTCCGCAGAGCAGGAACAGTGAGAGGTAGTGGACAGGTGCGGTTCACGGATGAACGGGAAAGCGTTGGAAGGTTGTTGCTGCGAGAAGGGTGGCTCAGTTGGGGAGGTATGGAGGTCCAGGTAGAAAGCCCCTCCAGCTGAGTCCTGGTGGTTTCCTGGTAGATCAGACACAGAGGAGGTGCAGGAGTGGTCGGTAGAGACGAGTCCAGATGTCTGCGGCCTCTCAGGGACGCCGTTGTTCATCTTGTTGTAAATGGCGCTGAAGTTGACGAGGACGCCATCAGAGCTGTTGCAGGAGGAGTCGCTGCCGTAACCCTGCTGGAGCTCTGAGAAGGTCTCGGAGAAGGCTTCTGGGAGCTGCTGAGGGTAGTTCTGGGAAAGAGCACAACAGGAGCAGTGGTGAGCAGAGGAGCTGGAAGAGTAGGAGCCGGTCTTACTGCTTCCACCACATCTCATCAGATGATCCTCATCTTCTTCATCATCGTCACCCCAGTCCTGCTCTCCACAATCCATGGACATGTTGGAGCCGCTGCTTCCATGGCGGCGCTGGCTGTCCAGTCCTAGGATGTCCAGGTCCTCCAGGTGGTTGGACAGGTCGGAGGCCGCTCCTCTCAGAGACTCCCGGCTGCTTCCTCCACCCGAGCTGTGCAGCAGAAACGGCTCTGAAGCAAACCCGAGGCCGTGCAGATGAAACGGAACCATGGCATCATCCAGAGCGGAGTTTGTGTCGCTGTGGAGGTGAAAAGACGAGTCTTCCAGGTAACCGTTCAGGTTATCACCATCATCTTCATCTTCATCATCATTGTCGTCCGCGTTCAGCAGAAACGGGTTACGCCGACGAGGATTCCTGCTCCTCGGTTTGGCCCTCGGTAACGTGTGCGCTGTTGGAAGCTGGTCCTCTGAGATGCTCGATGTGAATGACGAATCATCACTTGCTGTGCTCCCCCCCTTCCCCCCATCTCTATTCTCCCGTCCTCCGTCGTGGGAGGACCAGGAGCTGCTGGAGGTCTGGATCAGGCTGCTGTAGAGCAGAGCCTCCCTCTGGAGGATGTCTCTCTCTGGCAGCGATGTGGTGCGACTCAGACCCAGGCTCTCTGGCGGGCTGAACGGGTTGCTTCTCTTTAACGAGCTCCCACAGCTCCCCTGCCGCCCCACTGAAACCTGACAGTGCACCAGGGGGATGTGATGCACTATTAGGGTCTCACCGGACAGTTTAGGCGGGCTGTCCATGGTCCCAGAGGGGGTGAATCTGAAACGGCAGGTCGAGGCGCTTTGTGGGTGACGCAGGAGACGAGCAGCAGCTTTCACGCGGCTGGTCCCGGTTCTGCAGGGCTGCCGGGGACTGGGAAGGAAAGATCAGGGAAGTCGACACCGAGGTCCGAGTGGTACATCTGGAAAAAACAACAAAATACAACAACTTTGTGTTATTTAGGCGATCCGGTGGAAGTGTTGTCTACTCTGGTACACACAAGGCCCGTCGGTGGTTCTGCAGCCAGAAGAAGACCAACACTGAAAATCACCGCATGTACATCGCCGGGGAAACCCTGATAGTCAGTCTCCTTGGTCTGGGCGGTGAGTCAGCATCACATGACCCGGGAACAGCTGGTTCTTAAACAGAGGTATGATCTCATTCATGTGTCACACCCTAAATATCACAATCCATCCCCTCTCTCCAAAATGAAGACGTAATAAATCCCACGGCTGCGTTTTCATCCTTCCAACGAAGGCCAGATACAGAAGTCCAGCTGAGCGCTCCTTCCAGACCGTCTGGAATGATCTTCCTTTATCCCTACGTAGGATTGACAGTCTGGACACTAGGGCTGGGCGATATGGCCCAGAATCAATATCACGACATATTGAGGATTTCACCTCGATGATGATAAATGGATAACTACAGGTGTGCAGAAACAAAAGTTGTCCACTAGATGGAGCTGTCGCAGGTATTAAGCTGAGTCACATTTTATGTGGCACAGCTTCTTAAAGGGACATGAACGCTGTCAACCTACACACATCTTTTTATTTTTCATAGGAACGATTATCACGATAAGAGTCAGAGATTTCCAGAACGATTCGATTTATCGCCCAGCCCTACTGGACACCTTAAAACCAGCAGAAGACCCTTTTATTTAAAGCCGCTTTGACATAAATCTTTAGTTTTCTTATTTTTAACTCAAGGTTCTAATCATCTTTCATCCGTTTTATGCTGTTTTATAGTTTTATGACTTCTGATTTTTTATTTATTTCTGTTTTAACATCATCATGAATTAGCGCTGGGCCTATGTGAAGCCCTAAGTGATTCTGTCTGAGTGCTTTAGAAATAAAATGTACTTACTTCAAACAAAAGCACTTTGTTGTGACGTCGCTTTTCAGTTCGGATTCATTTAAGCTGTGGAAAGAAAAGGAAGACGACAGGATTGTTGATTCTGAGATGTAACTTGATGTAGTGAAGCTGCAACATGACAACAATAACCACAGACAGACAATCACTGTTTAGCTCATTTTGCATTTAAATCAAAGTTAAAGTCATCCTCACACACACACACACACACACACACACACACACACACACACACACACACACACACACACACACACACACACACACACTGGTGAAATGACATCTCCACATCTGACCCATCCCCGTGGGGAGTGGTGAGCTGCAGCGGTGACCGCCCTTGGGAACCATTTGGCGGTTTCGCCCCCCAATCCAACCCCCTAAAGCTGAGTGTCAAGCAGGGAGGCGTTGGGTCCCATTTCTTTGGTACGACCCGACCGGGATTCGAACCCCGATCTCCCAGTCCCGTGGCAGACGCTCTACGCTAGGCCACTGAGAAGGCGAGCTAACATTTAGACACGAGCCACTAACAATTAAAAAGCCTAAAAGAGGCAGGTTGAGTCCACCTGTTCTGCTGAGAGTTCCTCTCATTCGGACGCACTGTTGCAGGCATTAAGAACATTAGCTTTAGCATTAGCTAAGAGGCAAAGGTGAAACCAAAATAGGTTTAAGAGATTAGCCGCAGGCTCAGAAGACGTGACTGTGTGATGACTGTTAGGAGGAACTCTACCCGAGTGTTAACTCATCTAAACATCTTCCTGTAGAGAGAGGATAAAATATGGCAAACGCTGGTGAAGTGTCATTCTTTGTGTTTCTACTGCTCGTCTATAGGCGTGAAAGGAAATGTAATAAAATGTGACAATAGTTTGTTTTACATTAAAAGGCCTACTAGGCAACTTTTTCATATTTCATAACCAGTTTCTTGGGGTGAGGAGGACCATCTCCCTGGTGGCTTTGATGCGAGTCCTGCCACCGTTTCACAGCTCAGGGAGGAAACGACCTATTTATAAAGTGTTGAAAAGAAGGGAAGCATCACAGGAACAAAGCATAGAGGCTGAACTTCCAGTAATAACTGAGTCTGGGAGGAGAAAACGAGGCGCACCCAGACCAGGAAATGACCAAACCATACATCCAGGCGAGAGCGATGATGGAAGGTGTGTGTGTGTGTGTGTGTGTGTGTGTGTGTGTGTCAAGCACTATAGATGGTTTTCTGTGTGGCGGTATGTGTTTATGATGTATATTAATGATTGTTTAAGGTGTTGTTGAGGTTTTGTGCACGCATGTGTATCTGCTAGTGTTGAAGGTGTTTTAGAGAACAATAGGTACGCATGACCACTTCCTTCATAGCACCTGCAGAAAAACATTTCTGGAGCCGCCACCGATTCCCAACCGTGCTGTCCCGTCATCTCTCTCTTTGATGGAATCCACCTTCTGTGCCAGAGTCTGAATCTCAGCCAAAGTTCCAAGCTTACGACTCATCTCGACAATTATATGAGTTTGTGCATTCACGGCGTGGTGTAATCCATCCCTGAGCTCCGGGATTGAGCCAATATTCCTCGAAAGCTCATTAATTTTCCGGTAAGACAGGTAACCGCTCAGGCCAAACAGCACGAAACCTGACACCAACACCACGAATATCCAGACGTCTTCAGAATCCTCTACAGACAGTTGAGATAAGCAGATCAGGTTCCACTGTTTCCAGGAGTCCATGATATGCCCGGCTGGCTCTGACCCAGAGGGGCACCCGGGAGCCCCTTCTCCCGTTCTCAGGGTTTCCCTTACATAGGAGTAGCCGTGGCGGGCCGCCACGGCTGAAATCCCATCGCTACGCCTACAAGATCCCAAGTTTTATTTTTGCGCAGTTTCCCGAAGAAGCAGCGGGAACTACTATGTTGTCGCTTGTGATCACAGCCGGCGGGCAGCAAGGAGGAGCAGGCAGGGCAAGGTGAAGTTACAGCATAAGTTACTGAGTTTAAAATTAGAACGGTAGCAGTGGATATAATGTTTTTTGGTTTACATGTTTCAATAGCATTGAGATAAACGAGTGTTGACGATCTTGACAGGGTTTCCTCCAGCGCTTATTAGGCCAGGTTCTCCTCCCCCCACCAGGCTAAGCATCACTTATTCATGTAAAATTAATTTTTTCATGTCTGACTTTAACCGCATCTAATACTGTATTACGGCGTGAGCGCAACAGCGACAACTTAAGATCGATGTGTGAGCAGCGTGAGAGGTCGGGTGTTTTCATCTGAACCCTTAAAACCTCCAGCAGGCTACGCCGCACTATTGACGTGTTAGCGCGCGGCGCTAACAACTTAGTGACGTGACATGTCTCGGAGAAAGCGTAAAAACACGTTGGACGCTTCTTCTGAAGCAGGAAAATAACACTTCTTCTTAAGCAGAGCACGACGTCGCCTCGGCTCGTTCACGGCCGAGCAGGACTGAGCTCGATAACACTGACCCAGCACAGCCACTGGGTCGTTGGAGCTGCCCCGTGACTGCCTGATGAAAAACCAGCGGGTTTCATCAGACTCGTAAAGTTTCTTGTTTTTGCTGGGGACCCCTGTATTTTACCGCTCCCTCCTGCAGTCTTCCCCTATTAACATTTAAAATGATTCTGTAAACTCCGTGTATCAATAGAAAAAATCTCTGCCTCTGCCAGCTGCAGTAAATGTAGTCTCCAAATAATAAATAAGAGGTGCATTCATCTGTGTATCTCCTTTGATCCGCATTAGTGATATTTTCAGCACCAAAACAATGAAGCAAAGAAACAGATTCCTGAGTTTATGTTAGTAATTTTATTTATTAGGTGCATCTGACCTGTGCTATTTTTCTCTGAAATGAGATCAAATCAGTGCTTCTATGGGTTGTCTCCAATCTGCACTCGAAAATTTTACTTTATTTAGAGACGAGTCATAATTTCTCCCCAAGCCCCCCCCGCCACAGCTGGAAAAATTCCTAGGGGAAACACCGCATTCTCATTGTTGAAAAAGTCTTGTCAATCGCGTTGAGAGCCCAACTGACCAGGTCTATTTTTAATCATTTCCAGTGTCTATAAAAATGCAGAAGCGCCGTACACCCAAAGACAGACAAAGAGCCTTGGGATAAGATAGGGAGGAGAGGAGGAAAAAAGCGTCTGTACTCTCCAAGAGCCGGAAGAAGAAGGACTATATCGGCCTTAATAATAGGCTTTAGATATCTGCCATCTGCAACAAAATCCTTTAAAAATCGGTGTCAGCCTTTAAAAAAACCGTATCGGTCTAACTGTTTCTGATAATCAAAGTAAACAGGACGACTCTTTTTTACTCTACACGGGTACTTTAGAAGCACAAGAACAAAACATCAAGACATCTTGTTTCTAAACCTCCTCCTCCATCACTCTCTGCACATCTATGTTGTTCTCATCCTCCCTTCATGCTCTCTAATCTTCTCATTTCATCTCTCTCTCTCTCCTCCCGGTCCTTCCATAACCAGCACTGATTTCATCCATCCGTCTTGTTGAGAGGATTCTGCAGCTTCACTACAAAATTACTTTAACTTACTAATCCTTTAATATGGAGGTTTTATGGCCTGCCTTACTCTAAACTGTCCAGTAAAATGACTGGACGGCCGTGTCACTGCTTTTTGGAAAGAAAAGCTTGCACGGAGGAGAAGTCAGACATCTTATACTGGGGATCCACTTCTCCTCATGAGCCAAACTTCATCTTGTGTCTGCCTGAATTAGTCGATTTTATTCTTTCATTTTTCTGACACTGCCAACAGGACAGAAGGAGCTGGGCTTCCTGGGTTGTTGATGTTGGAGAAGATGGATTCTTGTGAGATCGCATTGGAAATATTAGCAGAACACTGATCCACAGACCAGCATCAAAGATTTCATGACCCCAACATCAGCTAACCCCCACCCCAGCGCTGGAGCAGGAGTATCCACACCTACACGGTTCCTGATCAAATTCAATTAGTAAACAACTCCCTCGTTTATTTACTGAGCTCTGTTCAGTTCTACGCTGCAGGATCAGAACTTTATCCACAGAATACCGATGGTTCCCCAGTTTAAACACACACACACACACACACACACACACACACACACACACACACATACATACATACATACAAACACACACACACACATACAAACATACACATACACACACACACAGACGCGCACGCACACACACATACATACACACACATACACACACACAGACACGCAGACGCACACACACACACACACACACACACACACACACACACACACACACACATACATACATACATACATACATACAAACACACACA